ACCTACGCAAAAACTATCGAAAACTATTTCCAACCGGAATGAAAAATGGGTTTTTCCTTTAGCGTCCATCTGCAACGTTCCATTAATTATTAGCAGAAAACTGAAGCAAAATTAAATTTCAACAGCTCGTCGTCGATTGTAATARATTTTTTTGTAAATAAACTCGAAAAACKAMMTYCACCAGGTCGCGGTAGWTTTAACGCATGSGAAAACGGGCGAATGAATGGCTTTTTAATATATCWSCAAAAATTAGATGTTTTGTTATATTGATAAACAGGGTGTCCCGTAAGCATGCACATGATCAAAAGGATCCTGCGACATTCTTTGCATCAAAAGAAGTCTATCTGACCTGACTATTAACGAAAATGTCTGGCTCCCCTGCTATTGATGGTCAAAGTTCTTCAAAAAAATTTTCTGTTTTGAAATATCGGGAGAATGGTACGATGTATGTTGGTGAAAYTCGYTGTGAATTTGTTCTTATGTAAGACTCATWTTYTRATGAAACAATCGAGTTCAGCCGTTTTGGACCAGTGGTGAATTCTGAGTGTCRTGGTACAAAAACTACCACAACTTTKTATTWGGTGGATAAAATCAACTATTTTTTTGGTTGGTGGTTTGCRAAGGCACTTATGATTTAATCACAATTKYGTGCTATTYGGAAAATATTGCMGCATTCATAGTTTTTGCGAAAAACARTTAMTGTTTTCTTGCCACTTAACAWTGTTAGACAKTARCWRSAAAWSARAATTTTTTTTTGCAAAAACTATGARTSCTACCATTTTTACAAAGAGCACAAAATTGTGAATAAAYGATTAGTGCATCAACCAAAAAAAAATAGTTGATTTCATCCACCAAATAAAAAGTTCTGGTAGTTTTTGTACCACGACACTCAAGAATTCACCACTTGTCAAAAACGACTGAACTCGATTGTTTCATCAAAATATGAGCCTTACATAAGAACAAATTCACAGCGCGTTTCGCCAAAATACATCGTACCATTCGCCCGATATTTCAAAAAAGATCCATTTTTTAAAGAACTTTGACCATCAATAGCAGAGGAGCCAGACATTTTTTCTTAATAAAAGTTAGGTCAGATCGTCTTCTGCTGATGCAAAAAATATCGCAGTACCCTTTTGATCATGTGCTTACGGGACACCCTGTATAGCGGTTAATAGCACTTTAATCGTATGTACTTGATCAAATGGGCGTTGTAATGCAATTCGTTTAAATTACAATCAAACATTGAATTGCATTTAACTACAAATTAGTGATAAAATTAGAAATTACCAGAAACATTAACTGATAATGTGAAATTAATTGCCATTAAATTTATCTCAAGAAGGAGATAAGCAAAGGATCAAGAGTAGAAAATTTACCCGCGTCTGCTTTACAAATAGTACTTAGTCCTTTCTAGGGCGAGACAAAGTCGGTGCTTTGGGACCGTTTAGAACACCTTGTCGGGGGGTTCCTTGTTTATAAAGTCTCAAGATATCGAATGCGTTTTTACAAAAATAAGTAACGCTATAGAGGTTGTTTAATTGAAAAAAAAAGGCGTTCAACATAAAGATACCTACTGGGTCTTCAATTTCTTTGCTTTGGTAGAATGCATAAGAAAATGTCTATGAAATAAAATCGTTTTCATTTCAGTTGAGAGTTATTGCATAAAAAATCTGCGAAATAACATGTTGCTGGATTTGGTTACACAGTTATTGTTTCCCAAATTTTCAAAACAGAACAAACCTCCTATTTAGGCCATTTTTTGATAAATTTGTTTATTTCCCTCGCAAGTCTGTATAGATTCCACAGCCTTATTAAATATTGCTAAAAACGACTTTTTGTTGTAGTCTAAGCAATTAAGTACGCCTGAAATGGTATTAAGCTATTCCGATTCAGCTGTTGGAGCAGTCTTTGTGTCAGGTGGCCATAGAAGAAATAA